CATGGGCAGGGGTCCCGCAGGGTGGAAGGGACACGTGGAGCCACGGCCACCCCAGAGTGCCACCATGGCCCCCCAGCGTGCCACCATGGCCACCCCAGAGTCACCACTCCCCCCCAGAGTGTCACCATGTCCCCCCCAGAGTGTCACCACGGCCACCCCAGAGTGCCACCATGGCCCCCTCAGAGTGTCACCACAGCCACCCCAGCATGTCACCGTGTCCCCCCCAACAGGTACTGAGGGCTGGAAGGGGAGAGGTGGCTTTGACGCTGAGTTTTAAGGGTGATAAAGGGATGGGCAGCAATTCCTGACGGGCACAGGCTCTGCCTGGCATCGCCACCTCCAGCCCCCGGTACAGAGAGGTGGCACCCCTGGGCCTGGAGGGGCTCTGTGTGTCCGTCTGTGTCCCCCAGGGCAAGAGCTGCCTCGTGTTTGGGGGGTGTTTCCGTCCTTCCTCCTTCCACACAGTCATTGTGGAACTGAGAAGCCCGTCCGTGGGACAGGGACAGCCCCGGGGGAGCAGCTCCGGGCAGGGGGTGACATCCAGGGCAGGCTCGTGGCCTCGAGCAGGAGGGAGAGGGGAGCCAGCCCTGGAGAGACCCCTCAGCTCCCCATCAGGGTGTCCCCACCAGGCCCCACGTCCCGCGGAGGCTCCTCCTGACGTCGCTGTGATGAGTGAACCACCCTCCAGCACCGTCATCCCGACAGAACCCACAGCTCTGGAGCCCTCGAAACCTTCCAGACAGGAGTCACTCTGCGCTCCCTGTGCCAGGCAGAGGCCCTGGTGCTGCCTGGCATCCCGTCAGGCTCCGCTCCCTCCCACGCCAGCTTATCTTTAGCCCGGGCTCTGCTCGCTCGCACGCACCGGGCGCGGTCCCACAGCCCCTCAGCCCACCCTGCCCGTGCCAGCACCCACAGCGGGGTGTCACCCTGACCCCTGCGCTGCCACCGCCTTTATAATTAACACCCCGGGTCCTCCACACCTTTTGGGGTCGTTTGCATCACGCCTGAGTGTGTAAACTCCCCATCCCAGCCCCTAATTAGTGCTCTGAGACCGAGCGAACCCCTGGAGAGCGGAGTGGTTTTCCGTGTGCGGTGTGGGATGCTCGGCACGATAACGGGAGTTCCCAGCACTGCCTTTGGCACCTTTGCGTCCCTGAGCGATCCCAGAAGTGTTAAATCCACCAGATTTATCCTAAAATCAAAGCAGGTGGGTTATTAGGGGAGCGCTTGGGGGCAAAGCCTCTCCAGGACCTGAGCACTCCCCTAATAACCCCAGGCCAGGATCTCTGAGCTCTCTGGTGATTCCTCCTCCCATGGGACACAGAAATTGGGGGAAAATGTTGTTTTCACCAAATTATGGGGATCTAGTTGCAAACCTGAAAGCTGGGGGTGACTGGGCAGGAACAGGAAGGGGGGAGAGATGGGGCGGTTATCAATTGCTGTCGGCATTTGGCAGCTCCCAAAAAGCGTCTTCTTGGAGAAAAATGAAGATTAAAACGGGAAGAGAGAGTTTCCATCCCATCCTTCACAGGGAGAAGCAGCTGGGTTTGGCAGGGAGGGGAAAATCTGAGCGGCGAAATCCC